TGAAAAAGACATTTGGATAATTTTGTATGAAGTTTATTTTCACTGATTTTTGATGAGTAGTTTAGTTAAAAGGTATTTTCACTCATGACTGGACATTATTTTTACCTATTTTTCTGTTCAGTGAATATTCACTTTCTTCCTATTAAAATTGAATGAGCTAATGAATAAATCACACTTAAATTTGTTTGTTTGTTAGTTGTTCTCTTCTGAATGTGATCTGTTTTGTACATCATTCAACTTACTGTAATTGTTGTCCTCTCTAATATTAATTTTAAAATCAATAAAGTCAAACAAACACAGTACATATAATTTTATAATTCAATTTCTGGGAATTCCCATTCTAAAATTGTTTAGTATGCAAGCTTATTTTTATTTTTAACAGCTTATATAGAATTATAAACTTATTCATAAATAGAACAGCGTATTGTATTGTACTTCGTATGTAAATATAGATAAATAGACAGGTTTCAACTTACGGCACCGTCAGTTGGTTTCAAACGTTAGGGGGGGAGGGATTTCCAGCTCGTATATTTTATACAATGGTTTTCCTGGTTCCTGGCGCTCTGATGAGCTATCAAACAGGTTTGCGACGAAATCAACTCAAAACTTTCCTATTGAAATGTGACACATCTCAAAATAACATGTTGCTTAAACATTTTTTTGATGTCACATAAAAAGTTATACAATAATTTATTTTATGAAGAATGTTTGTGAGACTTAGTATTTGACCTCCAAAGGTCACATATCCTGGTACTTTTGAGGGTATTGTAATCTTGTAAAACTTGATAATTTGCAAACATGATACATGTACATACATGCCATATTACACTGTCTTTAATGTACTTGCAATGTAAAAAAAATAACTGAGGGAGTCTTACAGACACCTGAAATTCTTCCTCCAGAAAGTACCAGGATGTGTGACACATAAAGGTCGTAGGTCATAGGGCATACTTTAAACTACTTTAATCTGGGGAATGACACATTTTTTGTAAATTTCATGAGTAAGTAAGAATTGCAAAATTTTGTAGCATTGAAAATTCTCTTCACAAATGCCATAAAAAATGGAATAGTTAAAAAAGTGAAATTTGTTTCAAAACTGCTTTGATTAAGAATTTTCATTATTATGCTAAGTTAATATTTAAAAAATAAAGTATTAAATTGTATCATATCATTCAAGGCATTTTAGTATTCCATGTCTAGCACATACGATGTTTAATTCAATATAATGCTAGTCACTTTGAGTTTCACTGTTTCACCAGTATTGTCAACTTCGTAATCAAGTCAAATTCTTTCAATAGCATTGGGTGTTTGTTATCAAAATAATAATCTGTATTTTCATTTTATTTTGCGTCAAAACGCAACAAACATGTATTTTTGAAAAGCTAGGTCAGGGTCAACACGCTTTCTATATTCAAATCTGTTTTTAAATAGCTGATCATTATCATTGATTCTACATATGTTACATGTAATATAATCATTTGTTCAGTTTTCTGTCGTATAATAATTTAACAATATTGCACTTATTGTGCGAGTACATGTATCAGAACCCAACCTTATTAGGAATTTGAATTACCAAATGGGGGTACACATGCTTTTATTTCAAATATTATACATGACACTAACTGTTGTTCCAGGAAAAACCACTTGAAATAGTGCGTATTGAACACAGGGCAGGGCCGCATTGACCTAATTGTTACCCATTCGGCCGAGGCTCGTAATCTTGTATCATTGCATGATAAAGGTCAGATTTGACGTAAATGACCTCCTGCAGATGACGCATGTGACGTCTGAATCACTGAATATTTATTTGTACAAACAGTCACATGTGACGTAAACACAGGTGGACGTTGTTACTCTCATAATAGATTGAACTGTGATAGCGGAGGATCTCTTGTTACCAAGGCAACAAGATGACATAATATTTGTAGTTAGGGTTGTTTATTGTATGTGTGTGATTGCAATCGATTCTTTCCATGCTGGAAACTGTGCGTACTATGTTACTGTGTCAGTCGGTATTATCAAGATAACTGAATTTAAAATTAATGTCAAAATACTTACATCCTGCTAGTACAGCTTCATTAAAATTATCTGTCTTCTGACTCTGTAATTTTTTTATTAAAAATTTGTGTATATTTACTCCATAAAATTGAATGAAATAAGCAGCAGAGTGGGTAAATACATTGTTTTGTTTATGTTCTGTACACTTTACAAACATGTCACAACTTAATTG